TAGCACCCACAATGATGATTAACAATTGTCTTTACACGACTAATATTGCGACTCTGCTGAGGCCAACAGCAACTCTGCTGTGGCCTACAGCTACTCTGATGTGACTATGGCAACTATGACATAATTAACACAACTCTGGTGTAATAAAGACAACTCTGCCTTACCAACTAATGTCGGTTCTTTATATACTGTTTAAATGGGACCGCAAACACCTTACGATGGCGTATTTGAAATATATGCTGATTGTGATAATTACTGCAATCGATATCGAAGTTGGCATATCAGCATTGCCATTACACAATGCAGCATTATCGATTGCTATTACACAATACGCCACCCCTAAAGTGTCTGTCAGTCCCTTGACAGATTAATAATAAAAAAAATTACGGGAGTTTGTGTTTCTCCTCCCCCTTGGAAAAATTATTGTCCTCAATAATTACTTAAACATAATTTCATTCTAAAAAAGAAAAATTAATAAGCAAAAATTTTCTAAATTTACCTAAAACTTCAATAATGGTACTTAATTCTATAATATAATCTGAAATGTTTCTTGTTTTATATTTGTTTAGGTAAATTTAAAATTACAAACTTTATTTTATTTAAAAAAAATTAAAATCACAATATTGGCTTTAAAAAGCACCTAAAAAAAATTTTTTTTTTATTTAAATTTGTTGAAATTAATGAAGATTGCATTTAATTCAAATAAGACGAAATTAAAAATCACAAGTAAATTAAGTTCAATAATAATATATGATTAAGAAGAGTTGACATATTGTCTGAGCGCTTTGAATTAAATAAAATTGCATAAATTATATGAAATTCTTGTTGTAATAATTGTTTTTATATATGAGTGTAATTTGACTACTATTTTTTTCTGTCTCAGCTTTTTTTTGACATAGTATGCAATTTAATACGTTCTCAAGTTGTGTAATCTGTGTCTCTGCAGGTTTTTGACCTATTTGATTTAAAATATTTTCGTAAGTATAGCCATTTATGATGCTTTTGGAAAATTCATGTAATTCTACATACTACACACTTCTACATTAAATTCACAATAGATTCCTGGGCCCTTTTGATTCATAACTTTTGAAAGACTGGACTTATTAATATTAGCGGCCATTCAACTTTGGAATCATTGATATAAAATAACTTTTGTATTTTATGTAAATGCGAATTATTGATACAACGCTTACAAGTTCATTTTTGTTCGTGAGTGGATAAAACTTTAAATGTAATATAAATTTTTATTTCTCTCATTGGTGTTATAACTGTATCGAACGCTTAAAAATTATAGTTGATTATTATCGATATATATATAAAAATTAAAATTTTTAAATAATACGAAATAATTTACTGTAAATTAATTTAATAAATCAAAGATAAATTTTCAAATTTAATGAGATAATAATTGGGTATTAATATGTATAACATTAATAATATACTCAAATTTTCAAATAATCACGGAACAAAGTTTTGTAATAAACATTAAGATTCATACAGATTCGCAAAGTTCGCAAAATAAATCATAAATGAATGAAGTCTAGTATTGTTTTGAAATTGTATCGTTCATGTTATATGATATTTCTTTATTTAAATTTCAAAAGAGAAATATGATGAATCCTTTAACACTATTAACCCAAATAATCGAAAAATACAAATAGTATGTACAATTACGTACATTTAACTAGAATTTAGTGAAAGATTTAGTAAAATAATGCAATTATTGTAATCGGAAAGAATATTACTTAAATTTATTTACTAAAGAAAAAATTACTTTAATATAGATGCAGCTAAAGTTTATAAACGTTGTGCGTTCAATAAATTTACTATAACACCATGAAATTAGAAAATCATATTGTATCAATAATTCTAACAAATATTTTTCTATTTTTTTTTTCTTTATTGCGGGGATGGTTTGTAATATATTATTGGCATGAACTTAAAATTTTCCCCTTCTATTCTATAACAGTTGGTAGAACGGGCAGTTGATTATTTAAAATAATATTAATTTATTATTAATAATTTTTTCTAAATAAAAGTTAAATTAATCAGTATATTCATCGGGCGTAAAAATAAAATATTTAGAAAGAAAATTGTGCAATTTAGTGCACTTTACAAGTTACTTGACCTCTGAGGTTCTACATAAGCCAAATAGTCATCAATAACATGTTTGTTAGTTTTACTAACAATATCTAATATTATGAGGGATTTTAATAATCCTACCCTATAATTATTTTTTTTTTTTGGGTTTTTCTATCCCATTTATGTCCTTTAGTAATTTTAACAGATTTCCCAATAAGTTTACCGGAACTATTAAAAATGTGAAAATCTGAAATGAGAGAACCTCTATGTCTCCTTTATTAATTATTGGCAGATTTTCCAATAAGTTTACCGGAACTATACATGAAATGTGGAAGTCTGTAATAAGAGGACCTTCAGGCACATTGGCCATAGAAAATTTGAAGTTATTTCATCCTGAATCGACGATATCGACGATGTTGACGTTAGACCGCTCGAAAGCCGGGTTACTAACTTTATCAACATAAATAAAATGATTCGCGATTGCAGGGAATAAATATTAATTTAAATGAAAATTGTATCATTCTGAATTGCGATATCATCTGTGTTGGCGTTAGACCGCTCGAAAGCCGGGTTACTAACTTTATCAACATACATAAACTGATTCGCGAAGTTCAAGAAATGAATATTAGTTAAAGATGACTCTTTTACCCTTCAGAGAATTCTATATAAAACTATAAAATTAAAATAATTTTTTCTTATTATTTAATCAACTGTCCGCTGTTATAGAATTATTAACCCAAGCTACCATTCTAATCAATATAATTGACATAAAAATAATTACACTAACAGGATTTTCATCTACATAGTTTCTAAAAAAAAAAATTCTCTTCAAATCTTAGATGAACTGGTTGTCATTCCTAGATGTGCAAATTTATTGTCCAAAGAAAAAATGGTTATCTTTGCCTGGGGAGAGTTGCTGACATCTTCTGGTAGTGTGATGTCCGAAAAAGGAAAATAAATTTGTCACTTACTTAGAGTGAGTCGCTGTCGTTGCGGGTTGCTTACGGTTCAGTGCTGGTAGAGCCGCCACCTTGCTACCCTTAGTTCCTCGAATTAAATCGCTGGATTGCTGGAATCGCCCTTGAGTCTGCAGCCTCCGGGGTGTGAAAAGCTCGGTTTTCACGTTCACAGGCAACGTCGAATACTAATTCTTCACTACAAGGTATCTCACCGCTGGACACCATGAAATATAAGGGGTTGTTTGTTGGTAGCGTGTTCGTATTGACCTCCTAGTCAAATACAGCTTTGCCGAGCGGTGGTTATAGAAATAGTAGGCTTCGGAGTTTCTTAGGAGCCTTGAGTTCTTATTAAGATATTGACTTCTAAAGAACAACACTGATTGACTATTTCAACAACACTTTATTAGCACCCACAATGATGATTAACAATTGTCTTTACACGACTAATATTGCGACTCTGCTGAGGCCAACAGCAACTCTGCTGTGGCCTACAGCTACTCTGATGTGACTATGGCAACTATGACATAATTAACACAACTCTGGTGTAATAAAGACAACTCTGCCTTACCAACTAATGTCGGTTCTTTATATACTGTTTAAATGGGACCGCAAACACCTTACGATGGCGTATTTGAAATATTTGCTGATTGTGATAATTACTGCAATCGATATCGAATTTGGCATATCAGCATTGCCATTACACAATGCAGCATTATCGATTGCTATTACACAATAATATATATATATATATATATATATATATATATATATGTGTGTGTGTGTGTGTGTGTGGATTATATGCCCATATATAATAATTCTTACTTTTATATATTGTTTCAACGATGATATCAAAGCATCACAAACGCGAGGAATAATTTTTTAAATCGATTGCTTTGATATATATGAAACAAATACTGTAAGCTTGCGTAACTATCCCCAGTAGCCAAAAATCTTAAAGTAACAGCCAATTGCTCCTTGACCGATATGCAGCACCGAAATGACGTATCTTTTTTTTTCAATTTTGGGTCCTACCATATCAATAAGTATTTGGAAATCTTCCACTGACATTCTCATAAAATTACGGAAATGACCAGAGTTTTCGTTGGATATTAGTGGCCTGAGGACATCATTTCGGGTTTTAAATAAAGGCGCCATCCAATAACGGCGTTTTCTTGCAGAAGACTTTGTAGAATCTTTGTTCAGGAGCCAATATGCCATCATAATGATATTAGGGTCTGGCCTGCGGTCACCCATTGTAAAGATCAATCCTGGAAATAAAGTGTTTATTTCTAGACCGACAATCAAACGTTTGAAAATAAACCGATCAGTTTTCTTCTAAGCTGAAATATAAATACAAGATGAATACATGTTATTAAATTATTTATCGTTATTAATAACATCCACCTTTACTTCCTCTAACTATGCTTTAATAACTCAACCAATCTTTCACTAACACTTATATAAAAAAACAACAACAGCAAACTGTACTCGCAATCACCAACTTAAAAACATCTACTTAAACGCCAAATGTCAAATTGCTCGCAGTGTGCGTCGCGCACAAGAGCCAACGCATGCGTGCATCGCGAACAGGATTCGCCGCACGGATTCGTGCAGTGGGGACGCAGCATGAAATTCATGCTGACTGAATTGTTAGCAAGTGTCAAATTCTTAGCATGATTTAATGCCTCCTGTTTAACATGTTTTTTTGAGGTTATTATTAATGTAAGCAAAGTGATATTATTAGGTTTGGTTTAGCTTTTATTGTGAATTTCAAATTGTTAATATGGCGTTTTTTGGAATAATTTGGGCAGCAGATAGTAGGAGAAGAAGGTATGTTTATTAAATGCCACAACATTTTAGATACAGGCAAAGATACGCCCTTAGGTATCTCAGAGATGCAGATAATGGGAAGTGAATGATGAAATTTTTATAAAAAAATTTCGATTAACGAAAAATGTTATGAAAGATTTAATAGAACTGTTGGAACCACATGCGGAGAGTCATACAGCATCATGGAGTATCCCTTTTTATTTGCAGGTATTGGAAATTAAAATGAATTTTTTTTTTGAAATACTAATAACTGAAATTTCATTATAGGTACTTGCAGCGATTCATTTTTCTGGTCATGGCTCATATCAGACTGATGTAGGCAATTGCCATTTAAATTCTATGAGCCAGCCTTCAGTTAGTCGCTGCATTAAAACAGTGACTAATTTAATTATAAAGCATGCTACACCAAAGTACGTGAATTTTCCTAAAACCTCATCAGAAAGAGATAAAAATAAAAAGAGGTATATGTTACACCACTTCGTGTGCATTGAACATGGTCTGTAATATGTTGCTATTTAACAGATTTTATACGAAGTTTGGCATGCCTGGCATTATTGGGTGCATAGACTGCACACACGTAAGTATAGTGGCTCCCAAAAAAGATCACCCCGTGGCACCAGCTGCTATTTATATGAATAGAAAGGGCTATTACTCAATTAATATTGAAGTAGTAAGTATTATTTTATTTTGCTTAAGAATTTTGAAGACTAACATTATAATAAATAATATTAGATATGTGATGCTGATGAACGGATATTGTTTGCGAGCAGCAGATATCCTGGCTCCACTCATGACGCAGCCATTTGCAAGGTTTCGGCAGTCAGAGCCCTGCTAACTCGTAATGCTGATGATGATGAGACATATTTATTGGGCAATTCAAGTATATAATTAATATCACAAATCAAATAAGGAAAAAAATATATATTAGTTGTACATTTGCCGTTATTTTTCAGGTTACCCATTGGAACATTGCCTACTCACACCATATAGGATACCAGTAGGCTCTACCTAGGAGAAACACAATAAGTTCCACAAAAAGGCTCGCAATGTAATAGAGAGAACATTTGGTGTTGTTAAAAGTCGTTTTCGATGTTTGCATCGTCACAGGACACTGCATTATACACCTGATGTGGCAGGAAAAATTGTGTATGCAGTATTTACTCTGCATAATATATGCAGGGAAAATAATATTTCTCTGGATGAAGAACTGACGGAATATAGTAATGATAGTGGAAACGGTTAGATACCAAATAATTGTATTTCAAATGTGTAGTTAAAATTAATTGATTTTAATATTTCAGAAGTATATGAGGCAGATAATACGGCATATAATATCAGAAATTCTTATGCCAGAAGATATTTTTAATACCATAATATTCACTTAAAAAAAGGATCATATTTTTATAGCTACATAAATGTGATTATTTTAAATAAATGAATATATATATATATATATATATATATATATATAAAGGAATAAAAAACAAAATTTATTGGCTGTTAAATTTATTTTTTAATGTATCATTAAGAATTTTCAATTGATCGGCTATGCATTGCAGCACCTCTGTCTGTTTCTCCATCATGTTAGTAAGAGACTCTGTTTGTCTTTTCAATACGTATTCCATTGAGTTTACGAGGTGATTTAATTCATCTTAAAATAATGAAATGCAGAATGTATCACATAGTTAATATAAGTAATATTTAAAATAGAAGAAAAATTATACTTACTACTGCCAGTAATTCATATTGTTCGTTCCTTTTGATTTTAACATTTTATTGTAAATGCTTCTACACAATCTCTGTGTAGCTGTTATATATTATTTATCATTATGTAATTCACATTGATCGTTCCTTTTAATTTTAACATTTTATTGTAAATGCTTCTACACAATCTCTGTGTAGCTGTTATATATTATTGATCATTAAGTAATTCATATTGATCGTTCCTTTTAAGTTTAACATTTTATTGTAAATGCTTCTACACAATCTCTGTGTAGCTGTTATATATTATTGATCATTCAGTAATTCATATTGATTGTTCCTTGTAAATTTATCATTAATACTTTTTTTAGTTACTTATAATTGTAAAATTATAATACTTATTATTATGTATATATTGATTATTACATTTATAAAAATTTTAATTGTTATGTAAAAATGTTTGTGATATATTTGAAAATATATTTTGTACTTCGTAAATTTTTTTTCTCATTTCCGATATAAAAAATTATTTAGGTTTTCTTATTTTGAATTACGTATGCGAACCATATCTAGGAATAATACCAGCGGTTGATTTATATACTGAACAAGTGCCTCCTCCTTCAGATCGCTAAAAATATTAAAATGGAGGTAATGTCAAATGGCCTCAGACAGCGATCTATTTATGTTTACTTATCTATGACCTCTATATTATCAGACTAGTAGTAATAGATGCAAGTATTTTGAAGTATGCATATTGATAAAAATACTTACTTATTGTTGAAGGCCCGTAAATATTATTAATCATTTTACATACTACATAGGTTCTAGTAGGAAACACTAGTTTTGACCAGCCAAATAGCAAACATCTATAACATCTAAAACAATATTTATTTGTGATTAATGTTTGGTTATTTTATTCTTATTACGTACTTTGTCATTTCTCGCTGGAAATACATGCAATTTTTTTGGTATTAGTGCACCTTGGAACGTAACACTTTGACATTTTGCTTGCAAAATAATCCTAATCACTTATAAACGAAACTGAACGTTCTCGAAATTGTTTGATTGCCCGCGTTGAAATTCTTACCAGATGAGTGCCAAATCGCTGCAAGAGCGCTCCAAGGGAGAGCAGCTCTAACTAAAATCGAGCTACAGAGTTTTGTTCGGAGATTACCCGCCATGGTATTATTCCTAGATATGGTTCGCATACGTAATTCAAAATAAGAAAACCTAAATAATTTCTTATATTGGAATTGAAAATATATTTTCAAATATATCACAAACATTTTTACATAACAATTAAAATTTTTATAAATGTAATAATCAATATATACACAATAATAAGTATTATAATTTTACAATAATAAGTATTATAATTTTACAATTATAAGTAACTAAAAAAAGTATTCACAACGGTATGATAAATTTACAAGAAACGATCAATATGAATTACATAATGATCAATAATATATAACAACTAGACAGAGATTGTGTAGAAGCATTTACAATAAAATGTTAAAATCAAAAGAAACAAGCAATATGAATTACTTAATGATCAATAATATATAACAACCAGGCAGAGATTGTGTAGAAGCATTTACAATAAAATGTTAAAATCAAAAGGAACGATCAATATGAATTACATAATAATCAATAATATATAACAGCTACACAGAGATTGTGTAGAAGCATTTACAATAAAATGTTGAACTTAAAAGGAACAATCAATATGAATTACTTAATGATCAATAATATATAACAACTACACAGAAATATTGTAAAAGCTTTCATAAGTATAATGAATTTACACGAACTGACTAATATTCATTATTATATTAAAAAGTAAATAAAAAGTAAATAAACTAATATAATAATATATTAAAAAGAGAAGAGAAAAATATAGAGTCTAAGTATGTAGTATAAAGAGTATATACTATAGATAATGGAATAGTATAATTAGAAGAAATGACAAATAATGAACAAATTTAAAAGAGACGTGTTGCGACACAATATAAACTAGTGGGGTGGGTGGCATCGTGTCTGAAGGCAAATTGCTGGAATTTCCCGTACCGTAACGAAATGTTCGAGGAATATTGAATGTTTTCAAATAGATTATTATAAATATTGTAACCTTGTCTAATATTTATAAGAATTATATAAACTGAATTGCAGAGTTGAAATTATTTGTTTAAAGTATATCGGAACTATAGTTAGAAATAAAAATAAAATCTGAATTATTTTTGATATACAAAAAATTAAAAAGAAAAAAAAAAATTGGTACAATTTTTTTTTTCCAAAATCAATTATTTTGTTAAGACAAGCAGAAAGTTCTTTGAATCAATTGAATCGAACGCTTAGTTCTCTCAAAAACTGCCATTTTTTGTACATTTAGCTCTGTATCTCCGAAATGGCTGGGCCTGCCTTTGCAAAAAACTAATAACCTCTTCTCCCAATCATTACTAATTGAATGTTTTTTTAGACCATTCAAATCGGATGCTCCGTTCTCTCAAAAACTCGATTTCTATTTTCTGCACTCTTTGCTCGTTATCTCCGTACCTGCTGGACCTGCCTCTACCAAAAACTAATCAGCACATCTCCTTATCAATAGGAATCGAATGTTTTTTAAACCATTCAAATCGGTTGTTCCGTACGCCCGAAAACGTGGGCGAAAATTTGTATACATACATACATACACACACACATCCATTTTTTCAGAAGTATGCCAAAATGTTCAGAAACCTTCAAAACGTCGAGAAATGTAAAAATTTTCAATTCCGATTTTCGGCCCATTACAATAACTTACCCTACGGGAAGTTAAAAATTAAACATTGTTATATGCATTAGTCTGAATCTTTTCATTGCGAGCCATCAGTCTTTAGCCCATAAATATTGATTTCAATGACTTGTCCAAATCATACTTTGACAATTGTTTTCAGAAAGAACCCCAACTATTTTCAATAGAGAACACCCGACTACAAGAGCCGCATTTCGTTAATCCGTCTAAATTATTATTTCTGAAACTAAATATTTATCCATTTCAACAACATTCCAAACTATATAGAAGTTAATACAAACACTTATTCTATTTTTAAAATTGTCAATTTTTTTAAAAAATAAAATCACTTCATGTAACATATATCAGTTTATGTTTTAATTATATATTATTATATATATATTTGTTATTTATATATGAAACACTATTTTAAAATATGCAATATTTCAAAATTAATTAGTAAACTCAAAGGAATTTTTGAAATTTGTTGTTTTACGATTTATGAGTCGATGTACAATCGCCAGGCTCTAAAAATACGCTTCTGCTTTGAAAACTATATATATAAATATGTATTAGTACATTTACTAATATTATGATCATCAGGTACAATCTTCTGACTGCAAGAGTGGAATTACATAATGGGAAGAACTTAGGTAGAAAAAATCCTGACGTTAAAAATAAAATAAAATCTGTTAGCAAAGTATGAAATTTTTATATTTTTATGAAGTTAACAACTTAGAAATTAACTAACTTTTAAAAATATTAAACTTACTTTTAAAAATATGCTTCAAAGTAATTAAAGAAGTGTATTGGTTTATGAAAAGTTTATAATTATTTATTTAGAAGTTTATGAAAATTACATATAAGCTAATTCAAGGAGTCAACAACTACTGACCTGGGACCACGGACAGTAGCCAGCCAGAAGAAGAAAATAATAAATTATAATTTCAATGTAAATATAGCTAATATAATAAATAATATTTTATTATAGTATTTGAGTTATTCAAGTGAAAATATATGTGGAAGATACACACATAATTGGTGACGTGATATTTTAATCTGAAGATGGAAAAATCAGGTAAGAATTCTGATAAAACGCCTTCCAAGATACCGAAGGATTCCGCATCTGAATCTGCCTCAAATCATGTATCCACAAACAATACAATTAACCAAGTTGCAGTAAAAATACTACCGTTCTGGAACAATAGCCCGAATCTATGGTTTGCGCAAGTGGAAGCACCGTTTGAAATTGCTTCAATAACAAACGAAAGCACATCTTTTTTTACGTAGTTGCCCATCGCGAATGGAAGCACGCATGCGAAGTGGAGGACGTGATTCGTGAGCCACCAGCAGAGAATCCCTATTCTTATTTAAAAGAAGTCCTCGTAAGCAGACTATGCGCATCAGAAAAGACTACAATCAAGCAGCTACTCTTTCGGAGGAAGAATTAGGGGATCGCAGCCCATCACAATTTTTGCGACATCTTCGCTTCTTGGCCGGTCACACAAAAATAGGTGAAACAATATTCAAATCTTTAT